GAGTTGAAATCAGCTTGAGTTAAGGTAAATGGGGGGCTGGGTTGTAAAGGTCAAGGCTCTTGTCACATAGATGAATCTTCCAGGTAGCAGGCTTCAGAGAGAATAGATGTGAATGTCTCTTATCAAAGGTGTTAAACTCTGGAGGGACCTATTAAAAGATTCTCAGCTGGGTGTGGTGGCTCACGCCTGTAATCCCAGCTCTTTGGGAGGCTGAGGCATGTGGATCATGAGGTCAGAGATTGAGACCATCCTGGCTAACACGATGAAACCCCGTCTCTACTAAAAATACAAAAAATTAGCTGGGCGTGGCAGCATGCGCCTATAGTCCCAGCTACTACGGAGGCTGAGGCAGGAGAATGGCTTGAACCTGGGAGGCGGAGGTTGCAGTGAGCCTAGATTGTGCCACTACACTCTAGCCTAAAAAGAAGATTCTCTATAGAATGCGAATTTTCCCTAGAAGAGAGAGCTTTGCAGGGCCATTTTAAAATATATCAAATAAATATATTTTGGGGTAGAATACTTTGATTTCCTTTTAGGGCCTGTTACCTGTCGTGTGATGCTATACTACAGTCAGGTTGGAGGTGGTATCTTATTGGTATCAAGGGTCTGTTCTGTCAGTCTCCGGATCTCTATCTTCATGTTAATGCTGGTCACTTTTGCGTGGATTCCAAAGGGAGGAGAGTATAATGGGGCATGCCTAACATCTCCCCATTCCTGTCACAGTCTGACTAGTTTTTCAGGTTCCAACAGGCTCTCTTGGCTGAGAAGAGAATCTATTCAGTCAGATGGGGAGGTGGCAGGTGGGCTGGGGTGAGGGCGCTGAGAAGTTTATTTTTGGTTTGCACAACCTGGGGAGACCCTGGAACAGAGGCCCCGGTTAAGCCATGCCTCGTCTCCTGATCTATAGAAACTTTGAGATGATATGTCTGTTGTTTTAAGCAGTCAAATTTGTGGTAATACTGTTATGTAGCAATAGACTGTTCCATTTTGTCTTCTGAATATCGATATGAGGTAGGTGTGGTTGTGTCCATTTTACTGATGGGGAAACTGATGCTCAGAGATGTGAGGGGCTTGCTTGAAATGGGCAACTCCCAGATCCCACGCTGGCTGTCTCAGTGGCAGATGGGGACTGTCAGGCCTCTGAGCCCAAGCTAAGCCATCGCATCCCCTGTGACCTGCACGTATCCAGATGGCCTGAAGTAACTGAAGAATCACAAAAGAAGTGAAAATGGCTTGTTCCTGTCTTAACTGATGACATTCCACCACAAAAGAAGTGAAAATGGCCAGTCCTTGCCTTAACTGATGACATTACCTTGTGAAATTCCTTCTCCTGGCTCATCCTGTCTCAAAAAACTCCCCCACTGAGCACCTTGTGACCCCCTCTCCTGCCCGCCAGAGAACAACCCCCCTTTGACTGTAATTTTCCTTTACCTACCCAAATCTTATAAAACGGCCCCACCCCTATCTCCCTTCACTGACTCTCTTTTCGTACTCAGTCTGCCTGCACCCAGGTGAAATAAACAACCTTGTTGCTCACACAAAGCCTGTTTGGCGGTCTCTTCACATGGACGCGAGTGAAATTTTGGTGCCATGACTCGGATCAGGGGACCTCCCCTGGGAGATCAATCTCCTGTCCTCCTGTTCCTTGCTCTGTGAGAAAGATCCACCTATGGCCTCAGGTCCTCAGACCAACCAGCCCAAGGAACATCACATCAATTTTAAATCAGGTAAGTGGCCTCTTTTTACTCTCTTCTCCAACCTCTCTCACTATCCCTTAATCTCTTTCTCCTTTCTATCTTTGTGCCACACTTCAATCTCTCCCTTCTCTTAATTTCAGTTCCTTTCCTTTTCTCATAGAGACAGGAGACACGTTTTATCCATGGACCCAAAACTCTGGCGCCGGTCACGGACTTGGGAAGACAGTCTTCCCTTGGTGTTTAATCACGCGGGGACGCCTGCATGATTATTCACCCACAATTCAGAGGTGTCTGACTACTCAGGGATGCCTGCCTTGGTCCTTCATCCTTAGCGGCAAGTACCACTGTTCTAGGGGCCAAGAATCCTCCCGACCCCTTCTCTCAGTGTCTCTACTCCTTCTCTGCTTTTCTGGGAAGCAAGAACCCCCCAACCCCTTCTCTCCATGTCTCTACCCCTTCTTCACTTTCCTAGGAGGCATGAACCCCCCCGACCCCTACTTTCCGTGCCTCTACCCCTTCTCCACTTTCCTGGGGGGCAAGAACCCCCTGACCCTTTCTCTCCATGGCTCTACTCTCTCTTTTCTCTGGGCTTGCCTCCTTCACTATGGGCAAGCTTCCTCCCTCCATTACCCCTTCTTCTCCCTTAGCCTGTGTTCTTAAAAACCTAAAACCTCTTCAACTCACACCTGACCTAAAACCTAAATGCCTTATTTTCTTCTGCAATGCTGCTTGACCCCAATACAAATTTGACAGTGGTTCCAAATAGCCAGAAAATGGCACTTTCAATTTTTCCATCCTACAAGATCTAAATAATGCTTGTCATAAAATGGGCAAACGGTCTGAGATGCCTGATATCCAGGCATTCTTTTACACATCAGTCCCTCCTTAGTCTCCGTTCCCAATGCAACTTGTCCCAAATCCTACTTCTTTCCCTCCCACCTGTCCTCTCAGTCCCAACCCCAAGCGTCACTGAGTCTTTCTAATCTTCCTTTTCTACAGACCCATCTGACCTCTCCCCTCCTAGCCAGGCTGAGCTAGTTCCCAATTCTTCCTCAGCCTCTGCTCCTCCACCCTATAATCCTTTTATCACCTCCCCTCCTCACACCCAGTCTGGCTTATAATTTCGTTTCGCCACCTGCCCAGCAATTTCCTCTTAAAAAGATGGCTGGAGCTAAAGGCAGAGTCAAGGTTAATGCTCCTTTTTCTTTATCCGACCTCTCCCAAATCAGTTAGTGTCTAGGTTCTTTTTCATCAAATATGGAAAAGCCAGCCCAGTTCATGGCCTGTTTAGCAGGAACCCTGAGACACTTTACAGCCCTAGACCCTGAAAGGTCAAAAGGCTGTCTTATTCTCAATATACATTTCATTTTATTACCTAGACTGCTCCCAACATTAAATAAAGCTCCAAAAATTAAATTCCGGCCCTCAAACCCCACAACAGGACTTAATTAACTTCCCTTTCAAGGTGTACAATAATAGAGTAGAGGCAGCCAAGTAGCAACATATTTCTGAGTTGCAAATCCTTGCCTCCACTGTGAGAGAAACCCCAGCTGCATCTCCAGCACACAAGAACTTCCAAACACCGAAATCGCAGTGGCCAGGTGTTCCTCCAGGCCCACCTCCCCCAGGAACTTGCTACAGCCCAACTTGAACTGCACCCCAAAAACTTGGATAGAGTCTGAAAACTCACCAACCAAACAAGTAATTACGCTGAACCGCCTTGGGCACTCTCTAATTGGATGTCCTGGGTCCTCCCAATTCTTAGTCCTTTAATACCTGTTTTTCTCCTTCTCTTATTCCGTTTAGTTTTTCAGTTCATACAAAACCGTATCCAGGCCATCACCATAATTCTATATGACAAATGTTTCTTCTAACAACCCCACAATGTCACCCCTAACTACAAAATCTTCCTTCAACTTCGTGCAAAACCATATCCAGGCCATCACCAATAATTCTATATGACAAATGTTTCTTCTAACAACCCCACAATATCACCCCTTACCACAAAATCTTCCTTCAACTTAATCTCTCCCACTCTAGGTTCCCACGCTGCCCCAATCCCGCTCAAAGCAGCTCTGAGAAACATCGCCTATTATCTTTCCATGCCACCCCCCAAAAAATTTTTTTTGCTGCCCCAACACTTCAATACTGTTTTATGTTAGGGACACTCAGAGCAGTCTCAACTCCAAAGAAGAGTTGGACGGTTCCTGTCCTCCTGCAGTGTAACTGCATTCCTTCTTGTTCCAGGAGGTGGCGACTTTTCCTATCTTGGGAACTGAAACTGCCTTTGCAAAAGATGTATCAGTGAGAAAATTATAACACTAATCCAACCCCCATCTTGCCCTTCCCTTAATTATTCCTGGGCTATTGGGCCAAGTTAGCTTTGGAAGACATTTAGGCTACAGTTTAAATAGTAGGTCTTGCCCAAAAGCTAATAGGAGTGTCAGAGGCGTCTGAACCACAGCGACTCCATTTTGAATAAGGGCTAGGAAAATGAGGCTGGGACTTGCTGGGGTTCATTCTCAGAAAGTGAGGCATTCCTAGCCTCTAGATGTTTATGGTTAAGGGAATAAAACAGACCTAGACTTGAGAGTGTCCCGATATGTCAATATCTGGAGAACAAAGGCATCCCTAATTTAATTTTACTTTAAAGATAATAGTATCTTGCAAAATACAGTAATTAAGAAAATTAATCCTTTATCACAAACCCTTGTAGCAGAGCACATCTCCCTGTTTCTAGAGTACAAGCTATATCTTTGCTTGATAGCAGCATCATACCTAGGGTAGATGCATTCCTCCTCTTACTTTCAGGAACGCCCTACTCTTGCCTATGCAGTAACTGTCCTTTCACCATTGTACTTCCTTAATAAACTCGCTTTTGCTTTGCACCACGGACTTGCCCTGAATTCCTTCTTGTGTGAGATCCAAGAACCCTCTCTTGGGGTCTTGCTGGATGGGGACTCTTTTCCTGTAACAGGAGGCCATCCAGCTGAGGGGGAGAGAAGGCTGAGTCCTGTTAAGGTGCAGACATTATTTCAGAGGCTATAAGATATGCAACTTCCCCAGTTACTCCTGAAAACAACAACACTACTGATGACTGGCCTTTTGAGATATCTTTCTAGGAGATGATTTGAGTTCAAACTCCACCTCCCATGTGGTGTGGCCAGCCTCATGTCTACTAAACTGTTTCTTTACTACCATGGTCTTTCTTCATACAGTGGGCAGGAAGAACCCCTCAAGTAGTTACGGAACTGGGAAGCCTGATGCCTAATGAGGATGAGAATTAAGACTAATGAACAATAATGATGATAATGAAGACAATACTTCTAATTTATATAGAAAGTTCTCACACCTGCAGAGGGCATGGATGCTCAATGGAGTAGACTGCACAGTGCATTGGCCTCTTTGCTTCTCATTCAGCCTCCGTTTCATGCCACCCACAACTCCCATTGATCCACTGCCTCCGAGTAAGTTGTACTGTGCTTTTGCCTCGGCTAACAGCAGATTGGCCATTGCATTTATCATTCAGATCTCCAAGAGCCCACCTACCCCAGATACCCACTGGCTAGTCCTGACCACTCCAAGTCAGGTTGAACCCCCATCTCACCAGGAATCCGTGCAGCCTGTAGTTCCAGCCTGAAGAGTCTGAGTCACTGTCCTGGGTAGTGGGGCAGAATCTGGACACCTCATCCTGCTGCTGTTTCCCCACTCTGATCCCCACCTGGTCCTAGCTACCTCCCCGGGAGCTTGACCCTGGAGGAGACAGTGCTTTTGGTATGGACTGGAGGAGACACTGAGCAGACAAAGGCGCACTGTCTGCCGAGCCACTGCAGCAGAGGCAGCCCTGCACACTACCTGGCGACCGCGATAGTGTACCTGTGCCTGGAGCTGCAGTGAGTGGTATGGCCGCCAGGTGGCGTTGCTGCCAAAAAGCAAAGCCACGAATTACCTGGTCAGGTGGGCAGTCGGGCAGGGCCTGTGGGTTCTGAAATGGAGGCTTCTTCCTCATTGCATTTTGTTCTCTCCACTATTTGGGTTTAGAAAACAAATCCTCCTGTACCATTATCATTTTGTAAACTGCACATACTCCATTATACAGATCCTGTGTGTGTACCAAATCTTTCATAACAAGACAGGGGAAAATGAAGCCGGTGACGTTGGCTGAGTGTCTAGGGAAACTTCTTCATCCTCGAGTTTTCTCCTCTCTGAATTTTAACTTCTTTTAACCTCTTCTGAGGTTTAAAGAAAATGCTCAGTGTTGTATTCAAGTCAAGTATAGATTAAAGGTCTAGAACTGAAAAAAAGAAAAAAATTCCAAATTCTGGTTACTATTGTGGACTAGCCAATTACCCCCATATTTAACAACATCCCTTCTAGTTCACTCACATTTTGTGGGTGGGGGATTTGGGAAGTGGTCTGCTGGACAGGACTTGCTTGGGGTCTCTATGTAGCTGCGGTCAGATGGTGGCCAGGGCTATACTACAGTCACCTGAAGCCTTGGCTGGGATGATGTCCGAAATGGCTCACTCTGTGACTTGCTTCTGGTGTTGGTTGCTGCCTGGGAGCTCAGTGGGGGCGTGAGGTGCCTCCATGTGGCCTCTCCAGCATAGCTGTCCCAGGATGAATGCACTTCTTACTTGGCAGCTAAATGAAGTTTAAGTGTGGTAGGCAGAATAATATGCCTTCTCCTCCTGCTCCAAAGACGGTCCTCTCAGAATCCATTGAATCTGAGACTATATTACATTGCATGGCAAAAGGGACTTTACATATGTAGTTAGTTAAGAATCTTGAGATGAGGAGACCATCCTGGATTATCCAGGTTAGACCCAATGTAATCACACGGGTTCTTATAAGCGAGAAGCAGAAGGATCAGAGTCAGAGAAGGTGATGTAGTGAGGGAAGCAGAAGTCGGAGTGATGTGAGGAAGGATCTATGAGCTGAGGAACGCAGGTGGCCTCTAAAAGCTGGAAAAGGCAAAGACATAGATTGTACTCTAGAAACTGCAGAAAAGGCCTGGCACCGCCTGCCATTTTAGCTATTTTTGAGTATATGATTCAGTGGCATTCATTACATTCATAGTGTTGTGTAAAACTGGATATCCACGTGCAAAACAATGGAGCTGGACCATTATACTCTAAACACAAATTAGAACGGATCCCTCATGTCTTTTTATAACTTCCAGTTTTGGGAAGTTTCTGTACTATCTAATTTTAAAAAATTAGCTTGGCATGGTGAGGGGCACCTGTGGTCCCAGCTACTTGGGAGGCTGAGGTGGGAGAATTGCTTGATCCTCGGAGTTAAGAGGCTACAATGAGCTATGATCATGTCACTGCACTCCAGCCTGGGTGACAGTAGACACTGTCTCTTAAAAAATTTTTTTGGAGAGAGAGAAAAAAAAAGACAGGCTGTTCCTAAGGTGCCTGAGAACCCCAGCCCTCACAGCCTTCTTCATTTAGCATCTTGCTTCCATGTCTCTGGTTCCATCCCATGTGGTGATGCTACACACGAAACCCATCTCCTCCTTCCTTTCCACAAGAGACCCCATTGCACACAGCCACTGGAGGTAAATAAATTTTAATGAGATTTTGGGCGCTGGAGAAAGACAAGGAGCTTATGTGCCACCAAAGCAACCAATGTTCCTTTGTCTCCCCAACTCTGTGGGGTCCCACTGGCCTCATCACCCCTTGAACCCTTTGCCACTGCCATCCTGCTGGTTCGTATCTCTTCCCCACACTTCTCTGTTCCCCACTCTTCCATCTCTGTCCACAGCAGATCCTCCGTCCCGCTTATTTTCTCTTGCAGAGCAGCTCAGGCTTTGCATTCTCATTCAGCATCTTGGCCCAAGATCTTTTCTCCCTCGAGGTATTTTCCCAAACAGTTTTCTTTATAAGAAGAATTCTGGTGTCTGCCCTCAAGATCATAGACCTTTTTAAAGTAAACTTGTCAGTTGCATCTGAGCAGCTCGGCCTCCTGGGTCTTGGGTCGCATCCATCTTGGTCCTACAGGAGCGTGTCCTGAGCAACTGCAGTGCTGCCTCCCCCTGCATCCCCTCCCCCTGGAGCTGGAAATAGCATTTGCTTCTTTTGTGGGTTATTTCCTGCCAGTCCCAGCTTGCTGGCTGCAGATGCTGGCCGAAAGTGGCTGCAGCTGACTACCTTCTTCAAGTTCACGTCCAGTAGTTGTCTCTGCTCCTTGGACACGCCCCAGGCAGCTGCTTGCGGCCTGAGTTGCAGCCTCTGGTGACCAGGGTCAGTGGCTGTTTCTTGTAACCACAGAGATCTGACGGATACAGAGAATTGGAAGGTCAAGGCCAGAGGCCAAATTTTTACCAAAATTGTCTAGCGGTCCACACCCTTCTGTGTGGTCTGCTATGCAGTAGAGGCTTAACCTTGCCCAAACAAAGATGAGGCCCTTTATCCTCAGCTCCTGGGCATTCATCTCCAAGCCCTTGGAATATCCTGCTGGTAGCTGATCTGAGAGTCTTGGGCCACTCTGGGCCACATCATAAATGATGTGATTTATGGTGGGGGTCTTGGGCCACATGATATTGGCTTGATGTATGAGGTTAGTCATGTGGGTGGTGAGCTGCTTAATTCAGCACTTTGGGAGGCCAAGGCAGAAGTATCACTTGAAGCCAAGAGTTCAAGACTAGCCTGGGCAACACAGGGAGACCTCATCTCTACAAAAAATAAAAAGATTAGCCAGACATGGTGGCACATACCTGTAGTCGTAGCTACTCAGGAGGCTGAGGTGGGAGGATGACTTGGAGTTGAGAAGTCAAGGCTGCAATGAGCTGTGATTTCACCAATGCACTCCAGTGGGCCAACAGAGCCAGACCCTGTCTCAAGACAAACAAAACTCTGGACACGAAGATCTCGAGTGAGCTGCTCTGGTTGGCAGTACTTGCACGTCATCACGTGTGTTGCTGTGAGAATCAGGTGCTGCCTCTATGGCTCCACTGGGAGAGGGCAGCTGGAAGCCGGCGCCTCATCTCTCCTGGAGTGTGGGCTGTGCACCTCCTCCCTGTGCTGATCTTAATCCCTATCTTTTTACTGTAACAAGCTGTAACTGTGAGCCTAACAGCTTTCCTGAGTCTAGTGAGTCCTTCTAGCAAATGAACAGAGGGTGGTCTTGGAGACCTCTGAACTTGCACCTCCCCCCTCGTTTTGAGGTCTGGCACAGGGAGGGAGGCTGGTCTCTTTGGAGGGGGTCTTCATCCATTGGGGCGGGGTCCAACTCCGGAGGCCCATGTCCTTGCCAGCTCCAGTCTCTCTCCCTGCTCAGTCCCGACGGTGTCACCTTGCACCCTCTGTCTGTGGATCCTGGCAAAAGCTGGCCTCTCTGCTCACATCTGAATAGGAGATATACTAGAAGAGGGTTTTCACACTTTAGCCTCAGGGCTCTTTTGAACAAAATCAAATATCTTTCCACGGAAGCCCAATGTGCAAAGAACGGCAGGCCCATCCCCTCCCCTCTCCCTGGAAGCCAGCGCGGTGCTTCTCAAGGTGTGGCCAAGGGTGGAATTGAGGCCGGGTCGGGGGACGGTGGATATTAAAATGCAGATTCCCTGGCCCTATCACAGACCAGACTGTCTGGGGCTGCGTCTTAGCAAACTCTACAGCGGATTCTGCCCAGCAGGAAGGGTTGGGAAATGCTGCTTGGGGCACCAGGAGAAAAGACCCAGGCTCTTGCGGGCATCTGGAGACGTCTGGTCTGTAGTTCGTGCAGACCCCACACCCTCCTTAGCTCCAGCACTGCACTTACCCCATTAGCCGAGGCGCTGGCATGCTCCTTACCTGGGGAAATAGGAGGGGAAGTCGTCAGGAAGGCATAATGCTGGGAAGCATGGGAAGAAGACATGCCTGGGTGTCAGGGCCCTGAAAATGTCAAGTTCTGCCTCTGCTATTACACGCGGGCGCCATTTCCCTTAATGGTATACACGTGTGTGAGACAGGGATGGCGGGGGTGCTCTGTAAGGATCTGGTCATTCAGTTATTCACTTGGTTATTAAATATCCATAAATATCGAGCCTGGCTCTAGAACCAGATGGATGGGTTCAAATTCCATTTCTTAGGAGCTGTGTGAACTTGGACAAGTGACTTAACCTCTCTGTGTTGCAGTTTCCTGGACTATTCAACAGGGGTGTATTTAGCAAATAGTAGTTATTATTCAGCAAATGGTAAATGTCTATTTTGTGCCAGGTACATTTTAGGTGCTGGGGACACAGCTGTGAACAAAAGAGATAAAAATGCCTGTTCTTGGCCAGGCGTGGTGGCTCACGCCTGTAATTCCAGCACTCTGGGAGGCTGAGGTGGGCAGATTGCTGGAGTCTAGGAGTTTGAGACCAGCTTGGGCAACACAGAGAAACTCCATCTCTACTAAAAAAATTTAAAAATTAGCCAGGCGTGGGAGCGCATGCCTATAATCCCAGCTACTCGAGAGGCTGAGGTGGGAGAATCACCTGAGCCTGGGAGGTTGAGGCTGCAGTAAGCCAAGATCACACAACTGCACTACTCCAGTCCGGGCAACAGAGTGAGATCTTGTCTCAGAAAAAAAAAAAAAAAAAGCCTGCTCTTGTGCAGTTTATGTTAATAATAACAATAATAGTAATAATAGCAATAACAATCATAGTGAATACATACCCAGCATGTGGCTTACAATGTGGCACCTGCTGTGTTAAGTGTTTTACTGTATTATTAGGTACCATCACCCGATTTTACAGATGAGGAAACTGAGTCATACAGATTAAGCTATTTGCCTATGGTGACATCACTAATCAAACAGTAGCTCGAGGGCCCACAGGCAGTCTGGCTCTGGAGTTGACACATTGAATCACGCAGCAAACACTTCCTCGAGTGCCTCTTTTATGCCCAGCCCAGTGGTAGGTGGTCCTGGGGACATAGTCATGACAGTGACAGCCTCAGGTCTGCTCTCTTGGGGCTCACAGTCCACTGGGGAAGACAAACAAGTCCCCCACAGTGATGACCCAGAATGGGCAAGGCTGGGGTGGGAGAGCCTAGTAGATGCTTGGCCCACGCTTGGGGGTCAGGGAGGGCTTCCTGGAACAGGCAGCATCTGTCCGGGATGTGAGGCAGCAGCTTTGTTTAGTGGTTGAGGGAAAAGCTTGGTAGTCAAAGATCTGGCTTCTTCTCTCCATCAACCACTTTCCAGCTATTTGACCATTAGCAGGTAACTTCATCTGTCAAGCAAATATTTCTTCCTCTGTAAAACGGGGCTCATGGGAGAACCACTTTGCTGGGTGCTTGTGAGCATTCAAGGAGATTGTATAGGCCAGGTGTGGTGGCTCACGCCTGTAATCCCAGCTCTTTGGGAGGCTGAGGCAGGTAGATCACATGAGGCCAGGAGGTCGAGACCACCCTGGCCAACATGGCAAAACCCCGTCTCTCCTAAAAATACAAAAATTAGCTCTGCACAGTGGTGCAGGCCTGTAATCCCAGCTACTCGGGAGGCTGAGGCACGAGAATCGCTTGCACCTGGGAGGTGGAGGCTTTAGCAAGCCGAGATCGCACCACTGCACTCCAGCCTGGGCGACAGAGTGAGAGCCTGTCTCAAAAATAAAATAAATAATAAAAAAATAAAAAAAGTAGAAATTGAAATCGAGGGGGTTACACACACAAAGTGGCACGTAGACGGTGCTCAGCAAAGTGTCGCTCCTTTGATAACAGAATTAGCTGGCACACTTCTCCAGAAGGAGCCATGGGAGGGTGCTCCAGGCAGGGGAACGGCCTGTGCAAATCTCTTGAGGTGTGACAGCATCAGACCCTTTTAGAGCTGAGGATCAGAGGTGCCAGTTCCTGCCAACTTCTCCTAGGAGTCACTCCTGAACAAGGCACATGGAGTAAGGCTGAGGGGTTAGGCATTATTTCACCCTCTATCCATCTGGCAGGGACTCCCACATCACCTGAATTAAATTTCAAAGTCCCTACCATGGCCTTAAGGCCCTATATGCTCTTCTCCCACTCTGTAAATAAGATTTGTAAATGTAATAAACGAACCAGTGAATGGCTCTGCACCCTCATCGGTCAAACCTCATGGCAGTGGGGTGATGATTCAGTGAGAAGCACATGGGAAGGACTCAGCACAGAGCCCAGCACATAGTAGGTGCTCAATTATGGCAGCTCTGGTGATGATCACTCGAGGGAGACAGATGATGATGCCAAAGGAACTCACAGGAATATCTGGACTGATAGAAATAAAGCCCGATCCCCACGAGGGTCAGAAGAATCACGATTCCCAGAATCAGGAAGATGATGATGTTACTGGACATGCCTGAGTGCTCACTGGGAGGTCGCTCTGAAAGAGAAGGAAACAGGCATTTAGGTAAGAAAACTCTTGGGGTTTATCCCTCATTCTTGAAATGGCATCTCAAATTTCCTTGGAGAGCCGCCACTCCACCTGCCTCAGTCTATTTAATTCAGGTGGACTGGATCCCAACCTCTGGTTCCTAGAATGGGACTTTGACACAGGCCTGGCCAATCAGAACATTCTATTCTCCCTGGCTGCTATGATTGGTTCATAGGTGGGCTGTGGCCTAAGCTGAGCTAATGAGAGCCAGCCCTGGGACTTTGGCTACAGTTATTGAAAGTGGTGTGTTTTTTCCTCCTGCTGTTGCTATTCTGGTAGGATGTGAGCCTGTTGCTGCTGAAGGCCATCTTGCTTCAAAGGCTGCCTGGGAATAAAGCCAGTATAACAAAAAGCAGAGACAAGGGAAGTATAAAATAAAAGTTCCTAGGTTACATGGTTGGAGCCCCTGGGTCTAACCATAAACTGAAGGTGAATTTTCAATAAAGTCCTGTGTTGTTTTTTTGTTTAGACTACTTTGTGTTTCTGTCAATTGCAATTGATAGAGGTCTGCCTAATACATTTGGAAAGGCCTGAGTCCCTGAGAGAGAGGGATTCCACATCTATCCCAACCTGTGTGTGTGGAGGGAGTGTATTCAGGCAGCTGAACAACGGTACCAGTGGTATAGGTATGGAGTTAACAGGGGAGTACAACTGGCCCCACTGGTCCTTTTGTGAGAAGGCTTAGGAGAAGGATGGGAGCCAGAGAGCACTGGAGAGGGAACCCTGCCTCGACCTCTTCCTTTGGTCCCTGTTCTCCCGACTCAGGGAGTTCCTCACCTTTGACCTGGACGGTCAGTTCTGCCTGGCGAGCTCCTAGGGCATTGGTGACGTTGCAGATGAAAGTTGTGTTGATTGGTTTGTCCACAGGACGGATCAGGAGCTGGGCGCCCTGGGCCACAGCGAAGGGTGGCAGGGGACCCATGGTCCTGGGAGTGACAGAAAGGTGAGGAGGTGGCCTCTGCTGCAGGTCCGGAGTGACAGTGATTGAGCACTCACTGCGTGCCAGGAACCCTCACACCCTCTATGGCATAAGCGGAGAGCAACTCTGGAGGCCCCCCAACTCTTCCCTTCCTCTCATGCCCACACCCAACCCATTAGCCAATCCTGTTGGCCCCACCTTAAGATCTACCCAGAATCCCACCGCTCCTCAGGGCTTCCAGGGCCACCTCCCTGCTCTGGCGTGGTGCATCCGGGCCCCCAGCAGCCGCCTCCACACTGGGCTCTGTTTCTGCCCTGGCCCCCTCATCTTTTCCCCACATGGCCACCAGAGGTCGCCTGTGAACCCTAAGTCAGTTCCCATCCCTCAGCTCAGTACCCTCTGGGGGCTCAGCCTGGCTCAGAGTTAAACCGAAGTCTTCTCCTGTCACAGGCCCCACGTGATCTGGTCCCTGCTACCTCTGCCCATGTTTTCCATTACTTTCCGCTTTGCTCCCGCCTCTGCATCCACAGTGGCCTCCTTGTTGGTCCTCAAACTCTCCAGTTAGGTGTCCAGTGTGTTTGCTTATGCAGGATGGATAGAAACGGGTTTGCCCATGCCGTTCCCTCTGCCCGAATGCTTTCCCCCCAGGTACCCGCAGAGCTCACCCTCATCTCCTTCAGGCCTCTGCTGGGATGTCACCTTAGTAACACCTCACTTGGCCACCCTATTTCAACTGCGATGATCACCCTTCCCATCCCCTTCTCTCTTTTCTTATTTTCTTTTTTTTTGAGACAGGGTCTCACTCTGTCACCCAGGTTGGAGTGCAGTGGCGCCATCTTGGCTCACTGCAACCTCCATCTTCTGGGTGCACAGAATCTCCCCACCTCAGCCTCCTGAGTAGCTGGGACTACAGGTGCGTGCCACCACACCCGGCCAATTTTTGTATGTTTTTTGGTAGAGACAGGGTTTTGCCATGTTGGCCAGGCTGGTCTCAAACTCCTAGCCTCGAACTCCTAGCCTCAAGTGATCCTCCCATCTCTGCCTCCCAAACTGCTGGGATTACAGGCATGAGCCATGGCACCCAGTCCCATTCCCTTCTCTGCTTTATCTTTTCCACGGTATTTATCACCATTGCGCACACACTACACACCTCATGACTTTATCTTGCTTCTTGTTTCTTTCACCATTAGAATGCAAGCTCCATAGGGGGAAGAAATTTGGTCTGTTTTATTGACCCGCGTACGTCGGTTAGTTGCACCTGGCTTACTTACTACAGTAAGTAGTCAAGGAACACTGGTTTAATGAACAGAGGTGGAGGAGATGGAAGCATCGGGCTTTGCGCACTCTGCAGAGCTGGGATGCAAACGCAGCCATCCGGCTCAAGAGCCTGAATTGTGGCACTCTGAGGCAGGACAGTAAAGGCACCATCACACCAATCGAAACCTTTGACCAGCAATTCCTTCCACTGACAACTGCTGACAAGTGACCACTGGGGATGGTTACCACCATGGCGTTTGCAGAGTAGAAAATGGAAAATGGGCCGGGCGCGGTGGCTCAAGCCTGTAATCCCAGCACTTTGGGAGGCCGAGACGGGTGGATCACGAGGTCAGGAGATCGAGACCATCCTGGCTAACACGGTGAAACCCCGTCTCTACTAAGAAATACAAAAAACTAGCCGGGTGAGGTGGCGGGCGCCTGTAGTCCCAGCTACTTGGGAGGCTGAGGCCGGAGAATGGCGTGAACCCGGGAGGCGGAGCTTGCAGTGAGCTGAGATCCGGCCACTGCACTCCAGCCTGGGCTACAGAGTGAGACTCCGTCTCAAAAAAAAAAAAAAAAAAAAAAAGAAAATGGAAAATGACATCTGTGTCCTCTACTGGGGACTGGTTAAATAACTGATGTCATCCACATATGTTGGAATCCCTTCCCTGCGCTTTGGGAGGCCCAGGCGAGAGGACTGCTTGAGTACAGGAGTTCAAGACCAGCCTGGGCAACATAGTGAGATCCTGTCTCTATTCTTAAAATTGTGTTTTTGTTTTTTTTTTTTAAAAAGTGATGGAATCCCAGCAACATTGAAAAAGGGGCCAGGTTAGCCAGGCATGGTGGTGTGTGCCTGTAGTCCCAGCTATCTGGGAGGCTGAAGCTAGAGGATCACTTGAGCCCAGGAGTTCAAGGCTGCAGTGAGCTGTGATTGTGCCACTGCATTCCAGCCTGAGCAACAGAGTGAGGCCCTGTGTCAAAAAAAAAAAAAAAAAAAAAAAGCAGGGGAGCTGGGGGTGCTCTGAAGTCTATAATATGATTGATGGATGAATAGAGGGACTGAAGGAATCACAGAAACATGATAAAGCAAGCACAGTAAAATGTTAGTGGGGGAATCCACGTGGTGGAATCTTAGGTGCTCACTGGAAAATTCCTGACTTTTCAGTATGTTTGACAGTCTTCCTAATACAACGTGGGGGAAAATGGAGTGTGGATCTCTGTGCTTTGACATGGAAAGGTATTCACAAGATACAGGAAAAGTTTCAAAATTATATGTATAGCATAATTCCAGTCTTTGTTTAGAAACAGAGAGAAAGAAGACAGAAGGATGTATAATAAGTGGTCACTGGGTATTTCTGGAGGTGGCTGGGTACACTTGACTATAGGTGCTTCTTTCTTCTTTTTGCTCATAACTAAATTGTTTGATATTTCTACAGTGGATACAAGTTAGTTTTGTAATAAGGAAAAAGATGTAAGGCTGGGCGAGGTGGCTCACACCTGCAATCCCAGCACTTTGGGAGGCTGAGGTGGGTTGATTGCTTGAGCCCAGGAGTTGGAGACCAGCCTGGGCAATGTGGCGAAACCCTGTCTCTGCAAAAAAATACAACAAAATTAGCTGAGTGTGGTAGTGTGTGCCTGTAGTCCCAGCTACTCAGGAGGCTGAGGCAGAAGGATCATCTGAGCCCAGGGAGGTCCAGGCTGCAGTGAGCTATGATCACACCACTGCACTCCAGCCTCGGCGACAGAGTCCCTTCTTAAAAAAACAAAAGGTGGTTCAGTAAAATTATGTAAATTATGTAAAATTATGCATTATAAAATTTTGTATTATCCCTTTGCCTTTCTCTTACCCTGCTCTTGACCCCAGCTTCAGTATGAATCTGGGGAAATCTTATTGCTGTGAGCCTCAACTTTCTCATCTAGACAATGGGGATAGTACTTGCTCCATCCAGAGATAACCAAGTAGGTTACACAAGGTGATGGTGAGGTGGTTACAGTCTAGCGTGGGGGTGTCCAATCTTTTGGCTTCCCTGGGCCACACTGGAAGAAGAAGAACTCTCTTGGGCCATACATAAAATACACTAACACTAATGATAGCTGATGAGCTAAAAAAAAATTGCAAAAAAAAAATCTCATAATGATTTAAGAAAGTTTACAAATTATGCGGCCTGCAGGTTAGACAAGCTTGGCCAAGAGGCGGAGGACCAGCTTTGGAGCCAGGGCTGATTCAAGGGCCGCTTCTGCCCTCTCGTGGCTGGTCTTTAACCTGGGCATGACAACAGCTGCTGACTCTGCACAGCATGGGGTCACGTGGGATTCGGGGGAAGTACCGGGCACAGAGCAGGCACACCCCAAGAGCAGGTGCATCCACCAGCCAGGATTAAACCACCTGCTAAACGCCTCAACTGCAAAACAGAGATGCCCCCCACTGGGCATCTCTTCCCTCCTCTTTTTTTCTTTTCTGAATCCCCCTGCTCTCTTAGACCAGGATTCCAGGCCCCTAGCCTCTCCTCCCTCAGACCCAGGGGTCCAGGTCCAGCCCCTCCTCCCTCAGTCCCGAGTCCAGGCCCCCAGCGTCTCCTCCCTCAGACCCACAAATCCACACCCCCAGGCCCTCCTCCCTGAGACCCAGGACTCACGTGCTCCAGTTGTAGCCTGTGGGCTCTGGGTTGCTGCGAGCGTCGCAGGTCAGGGTGGCCTCATTCTGGCTGAGGTACCAGTTGTTATCATAGCCAGAGAAGGATACCTCTGGGGGGTCTGCAGGAAATGGACACAGAGGTTCAGAGACAGGGAGACTTTGGGGAGCCGAGGGCTACGTGGGATTCACATCACTGCAGGAAAAGGCCTGGGGATATTTGGAAAACAGCGGGAGCTGCAGAGGCCTAGGAGTCGTCTAGGGAGATGGGGTGCCACAGAGAGCAGAAGCCTGGGAGTCTGTGGTCAGTGGGCACATGGAGAGGGCTTCTGAGGACCTGCTTTTCTCCACTAGCTTTCCTGGGTGGCCCGGACCAGGCATGTCTTGGGTGTCCTGCGGGAAAAGGCCTCCTCCTTTTGTCACTCATAGGCAATGACCACTCATAACACACGGCAGTGTATTCAAGGCTCCGACAAGTCCTGCGGGAAAGAGTCCTGGATAACCCTGCTCTAGGCTGCTGCTCAGCCATCCCCGATGTGATTGACAGTGAGGGCCTTTCGATGTCCTCAGGGGACAGGCCCTAATGGGACAGGGTTTTTTGGGGGGTGAGGGGTAGGAGTCAGTGTAGATCTCCTCCTCGCTCAGACCCAGTGACAGTGTTGAGGGACTCCAGGATAGACAGTACCTGAGGGAATCTGTGTACCACTTGCCTGGCGGGGGAGTAGGCAGTATAGACAATGATGGGAGGAACAGTATGAATGATGCCTAGAAGAGCTTGTGTAGATATTACTGATGGGCTCAGTGTAGACAGGGTGTTGGAATATTACAGTAGATGCTATATTGTCAGGCCAGTGTTGAAATGTTGTGGTGGGGGTGAGATCACCCCCACATATAGAGTGTGCCCCCGGGAGCTGGTGAAATTAAGACAGGCCCTGTGTGTGTGTGTGTGTAGACAGTATTTGGATGAGCCAGTGTAGACGATGTGGGATCTTAGTCTAGCTGTCCAATGTGGCACTTACTGGCCACATGTGACTACTGAGCACCCGAAATATAGCCAGGCCAAAATACACACCAAATTTCAAAGGCTTTACTAGGGCAAAACAAATGGGAAAGATCTCAAGAATAATTTAAAAAAATTACAAGTTGAAATAATATTTTGGGTATATTGGGGTACGTAAAGGCAATTATGAAAATTAACTTTGGCCAGGCACAGTGGCTCATGCCTGTAATTCCAGTACCTTGGAGGGTTGAAGCAGGAGGATCACTTGAGCCCAGGAGTTCGAGACCAGCCTGGGCAACATAGGGATATCCTGTCCCTACAAAAAAATTTAAAAAGGCCAGGTGTGGTGGCTCACATCTGTAATCCCAGCACTTTGGGAGGCCAAGGTATGGGGATCATGAGGTCAGGAGTTTGAGACCAGCCTGGCCAACATGGTGAAACCCCGTCTCTACTACAAATACAAAAATTAGCCAGGCACTGTAGCCAGGGCCTGTAATCCCAGCTACTCGGGAGGCTGAGGCAGGAGAATCACTTGAATCTGAGAGGCGGACGCTGCAGTGAGCTGATATCGCGCCACTGCACTCTAGCCTGGGTGACAGAGCAAGACTCCATCAAACACACACACACACACAAAATTAGCTGGGCATGGTGTCACACGCCTGTAGTCCCAGCTACTCAGGAGACTGAGGCTGAAGTGGGAGGATCACTTAAGCCCAGGAGGTTGAGGCTGCAGTGAGCTGTGCCACCGCACTCCAGTCTGGGTGACACAGTAAGACCCCGCCTCAAATAAATAAATAGATAAATAAAGAAACAAATAAATTTCATCTCTTTTTTTTTCTTTTTTTGTTTTTGAGATGGAGTCTTGCTCTGTTGCCCAGGCTGGAGTGCAATGGCACGATCTCGCTCACTGCAACCTCTGCCTCCCAGGTTCAAGTGATTCTCCTGCCTCAGCCTGGCCAGTAGCTGGGATCACAGACACCTGTCACCATGCCTGGCTAATTTCTGCATTTTTTAGTAAAGACGGAGTTTTACCACATTGGTCAGGCTGGTCTTGAATGCCTGACCTCAGGTGAGCCACCTGCCTCAGCCTCCCAAAGTGCTGGCGTGAGCCACCGTGCCTGGCCTCTTTCTTTTAATTTTTTTAATGGGGTGGCTGCTGGAGAATTTAAAATCCTATATGCAGCTTGCGTGCTATTTCTGTTAGACAGCACTGGTTAGAGAGTCCCTGGGGCTGTCGGTGGAGATAAACGTGTGGGTGTCAATGTCGATGACGCCGTGAGGGAGCTGCTGGAGGTAACGCCGTGCAGGAGAACCAGGACAGATGCTGTCAGGGGCCGTGCAGACAGAACACAAGGAGGCCAGTGTGGTGATGTGGGGTGAGACTCCATAGCCTGTAAGTGAGCCAGTGTAGACAACATTGGGCAGAGGAGCATGGAGACTACACTGGGGGACTCTGCAGACACTGCTGAGGGGAGCCAGCACAAACAACGTGGGAAGATCAATGCAGCCAGCACCCAGCAGAGATGGTCGATCGTGGCTCAGGGGAACTGGTCGATACAATGTGGGAGGTGAATGCAGACAGTTCTCCAGGGAGTCAGTGTAGACAGTGTCGAGGGGCACTTTAGAGAGTGCCTAGGAGAACCAGTGTAGAAAAAGTGGGGTGTTTATGTAGACAGTGGTCACAGGAGCCAGTGTAGACACCATGTGAGACAGTGAAAACACCCCACAGCTGATGGCCGAAATAGCTGGTGTAGACAATGGGGATAGTGCTGTCTGCGGCCCAGAAGAGCCAATGTAGACAATGGTAAGGCAGTGTAGAAAATGGACAAGAGGCTAGATGCAGTGGCTCACGCCTGTAATCTCAGCACTTCGGGAGACTGGGGTGGGAGGATCACTTGAGCCTAGGAGTTTGACACCAGCCTGGGCAACATAGCAAAACTCTCTCTACAAAAAATTGTAAAATTAGCTGGGCATGGTGGCTGTACCTGTAGTCCCAGTTACTTGGGAGGCTGAGGGAGGAGGATCGCTTGAGCCTGGAAGGTTGAGGCTATAGGAGCCATGATCATGCCCCTACACTCCAGCCTGGTTGACAGAGCGAGAACCTGTCCAAAGGGAAAAAAAAAAAAAAAGGCCACGCACGATGGCTCATGCCTATAATTCCAGCACACTTTGGGAGGCCGAGGCAGGCAGATCACCTGAGGTCAGGAGTTTGAGAACAGCCTGGCCAACATGGTGAAACCCTGTCTACTAAAAATACAAAAATTAGCCAGGTGTGGTGGCATGCACCTGTAATCCCAGCTATTTGGGAGGCTGAGGTAGGAGAACCACCTGAACTTGGGAGGCAGAGGTTACAGTGAGCCGAGACTGTGCCACTGTACTTCAGCCTGGGTGACAGAGTGAGAACTTATTTCAAAAAAAAAAAAGAAAGAAAAAAAGAAAGAAATGGACAAGGGAGTGGGTGTAGACAAGAAGGGCGGCAGTGCTGATTGTGGCCAGGAGAACCAGTGTAGCAATGTGGGGAAGGTCATTGTGGATAGTTGCCTGGGGAAGCAGGTGTAGGCAGTTTGGGGGCAGTGTAGACTGTGCTCAAGGGAGTCAACAGAGTGTGGGGTATCCGTGCAGACAGTGGCTAGAGGAGCCAGGGCAGACAATCTGGGTACCAGCATTGACTATGGCCCGAGTAAATTGGTGTAGGCAATAGGGACAGTGTTGTTTACGGCCCAGGGGAGCTGGTGCAGACAATGGGGGTGGGTCGTGTAGACAAGAGTCAGGGGAGCCACTGCAGATGAAGGAAGCAATGCCTACAGTGCCTTGGGGAGTCAGTGTAGACAGTGGTGGGGGCAGCCTGGCAGTGGATCTTGCCGTCACTGACTCGGGCACACTCACAGTAGACGGTGAGGTTCACAGTCAGCAGCTGAGGCTTCTCAAAGCCCTCGTGCTCCACCTTGCAGGTCACACTCTTGCCGTCCACCTGGCTTGAGGGCACCAAAATCCAGAGGCTGGTGACAGTGACTGTGCCAGACAGGAACCCTGGCGCCTGGCTGGTATTGGGCATCCCGCCCAGGTCTGAGTGCCAGGTGATATGGGCCGGCGGGCGACCCCCTGTGGAGACGCAGCGGGCCACGGGCACTGGCTTTCCAGTGAGCTGGACCTTCTGAACCTCAGCTGTGTTCTGTGGCTTGGCTGGGAAGAGGAACAAAAGCAACAGGTCATTCAATGAACCCCTCTGTGGTAGAAGGAGGCATTCATTAAGGGTACAGGATGGCATGGTGGCTGGGCGGGGTGGCTCATGCCTATAATCCCAGAACTTTGGGAGGCTGAGGTTGGTGGATCACTTGAGGTCAGGAGTTCGAGACCAGCCTGGCCAACACGGGGAAACTGTCTCTACTAAAAATGAACCAGGGTGTGGTGGCACACACCAGTAATCCCAGTTACTTGGGAGGCTGAGGCCGGAGAATTGCTTGAACTTGAGAGGTGGAGGTTGCAGTGAGCCGAGATTGTGTCACTGCTCTCCAGCCTGGGCAACAGAGTGAGATTCTGTCTCAAAAAAAGAAAAAGAAAAAAAAAAAGGATGGCATGGTTTAAACCCCTGCTGTGTCCCTGAGCAGCTGGGTGGTCTTGGGCAAGTCTGTGCCTCAGTTTCCTTGTCTGTTGACAGGGGTAGTGATGGCACCATAGGCAATAAGAATATGCAGGTGAAGCTGTCAGAATGGCACATAGTAAGTGCTCCATAAATACTGTTTGCTGGAAAGTGCTGGGGCCCAGCAGTGACCAAAATAGCCCTGGTTCTGCCCTCATGGGTACAGTCCAAGGGGGCAGACAGACTCTTTCCTAGGCAGTGATGACTCGGAGAGGGCAGGGCTGGGAAGGGGAAACCCAAAGGGGATTATGCTAGTCTGGGGCTCAGTGGAGGAGAGGAAGCCTGAGCCCTGAAGTTGAGAAGGGAAGTGACTTGCCCACGGTGACACAGCTGTAAGCAGCAGAGCTAGGCTTTCACATAAGGTCTGTCTGACTCCAAAACCACCTTGACCATCTCTTAATCATCATCCTGGTGATTCCCAAACCTGGAACTTGCTTCCCCATCATTACCTGTATTATTTACCGAAGATTTCTCCTTACCTTGACTCGCTGTTTCTGTTTTACCCTCATCCTAAACCATGACACCTGGAATCCCAGGCTTGCTGGAGTGACAACAGCTGCCTGTGGTCGGGTGTTGTGTGCCAGGCACAATTCCAAGCCCTTGACATTTCATGAGTTTCTCATGCACAGGCCTGGAATAGTTCTTGGCACATAAGCTTAAACAAAACAAAACAAAACAAAATAAAACAAAACAAAAACAAGTTGGGCGTGGTGGCACATTCCTGTAATTCCAGCTACAGGGAGCGCAGGAACATCCCTTGCGCGCAGGAGTTCCAGGCTGCAGTGAGGACCTGCTGTGACCACACCACTGCACTCCAGCCTGGGCGACAGAGCTAAACTCTGGCTCAAAAAAAAACAGGGTCAGTTTTCTTGAATCCTCATGGTGATCCCCATCCCACAGATGAGGAAACTGAGGCACAGAGATTTCTTGCTCAAGTTCCAAGAGGAGGGCCTCATGGAGCTCATGAAAATGAAAGCAGATCCCCTCCTCTTTTGGGTATCAGGATCCTTGCTTTCCTGTCTGTCTGTTTCAACTTTCTCCTTTTTCACCAAATAAAGTAACAGTAACTGACAGCTCTAAGGGGCTCACATGGGCCAGCGGTGAAGCTCTAAGGCTGCACCGGGACACTCAGGACAGCTTTCCAAGGGTGATACTATTGTCACCAACCCTTTTACAGATGAGGAAAGGCGGGGCCAAGAAGAGGCCACCCAGGCCTCCTCCCTTCTGGGTTCCCTCCAAACTCCTTTTCCAATATACCCCTCCCTCTGCCTCAGGGTGTTCTGACCCCAAGATTGGGGGTCCTTACGCCAGGAGATCTCTGCTGCCTTCCTGCCCTGCAGCCCCTCCCCCCATGCGCTCCCCTGACCCCACCCCCATCTCCTTTTGTCCCCAGGGAATCTGCTGTGGAGGGAATCTCCCTCCCTCCCTGGCCTCTCCGGCCTCCCCACTCTGGCCTCCCCACTCTGCCGACTTCCCTGATCCTCCCACCAAGTCTCCGCCTTTCATTCAGCCTCCCCAAAACCCCTGCTCACCAAGCACTCGGAGCCAGATATCCACGCTCCTTTTGCCCTGCGGGAAGATGAAGAACACACAGGTGTAGCTGCCTTCATCCTCGACGCGCAACCCGAACATCCTCAGCGAGGCATCCCGCAGCTCCGTGCCCAGTCTGGTGGCCACGAATTCCAGCCGTTTGGGCTCCGAATACTTGGGGCCCTGCGTTGGGTGGAAGATGGCCATGCTGCCGGATTCACCATGCCGCGACCAAGTCAGCTGTGACACGTGAGTCTCCTCCATGCCGGGCACCTGTAGGTAGCAGGGCAGCGTCACGGAGTCGCCCAAGAAGCCGGGCACCTGGGTGGGCGCCTGCACGACGATGTCCCCTGCGGAGAACCGAAGAGAAGGTGTCAGACCCGGGGCATTCCTGGGCTAGATAGGGAGGGGCTCCGGGAGCCCGGGCACCTGGGCGTGCAATTGCACGCTGGGGCCCTGGAGCCCTGGTGGACGGTGGGGTGTGGGGGGAGGGGGGACTGGGGCACTAGTTGGGGTCATGGCAGGCGAGGAGGGTAAGGGCATCTGGGATGGTCTGCAACTTGGCCTTGCTCCTTCACTTTGGCTATTTATTACCATATTTCTTCTGTTATTACCGTATTTCCCTCAATCTCAACATCATTGATTTTAAAAATTATGGTAAATATGTGGTTAAAAACTAAATTTACCATTTAAGCCATTTAAAGCATACAGTTCAGTGGCACTACACACATTTCACAATGTTGTGCAACTGTCACCACTATATAGCTCCAGACTTTTTCTTTTGTTTTTTTTGAGATGGAGTCTCGCTGTGTCGCCTAGGTGGAGTGCAGTGGCACGATCTCTGCTCATTGCAAGCTCTGCCTCCGGAGTTCAAGCAGTTCTCCTGCCTCAGCTTTCCGTGTAGCTGGGATGACAGGCTCCCACCACCACACCCGGCTAATTTTTTATATATTTTTAGCAGAGATGAGGTTTCACCATGTTGGCCAGGCTGGTCTTGAACTCCTGACCTCAAGTGTTCCTCCTGCTTCGGCCTCCCAAAGTGCTGGGATTACAGGTGTGAGCCACCGCACCTGGCCCTGAACTTTTTCATCACACCGGTGTCGTAGCTTTCACATACCATGACTGTCGTTATTTACAGCACAATTGCCATTAGGGGTTAGAATACCCTCAATGTAGAAAATAGGGAGAAATCCTCGATGTTCAAATCCATGAAAAGCTGTATTATTACTCCGGGTAGGTCCTGGCTGGAAGAATGTGGGGGATCGTGGCACAAGAGGAAGGCAATTATAGTGAGGCTTCAGGCCGGTTACTTAACCTGTCTGATTCTTTTTCCTAGTTTGTACAATGAGACTTAGAACAGTGCACACTCACAGGGCGCTGACACAGATCAGGGGCTATTCTGGGTGCTTCACATATATCTTGGCATTTAATCCTCAAATAGCCCCCTGAGGCCAGCACTACTGTTAACATCACTTTACAGACAGGGAAACCGACACAGAGTATAGCATCCTCCAAGTCATACAGAGGTTTAGTGGCAGAGGTGGGATTTGAACTTGGGTGGTCAGAGACTGACCTCTAACCCCCCAGGTCCTATATAAAAATCTTTCTGCTAAGGGCCCTAGCACATAGTAGGTCCTCGACATGTGTCAGCGCTTATTGACACTAATAAACATAGTCCTATGTATTCTTTTCTATTTTCAAATTTTTATTTAGTTAATTATTTTTATAGAGATGGGGTCTTGCTATGTTGCCCAGGCTGGTTTTGAATTCCTAAGCTCAAGTGATCCTCCCACGTCAGCCTCCCAAAGTGTTGGGATTACAGGCATGAGCCACTGTGTTTGGCTGCAATCAGCCTGGGCAGCATAGCGAAACCCTATCCCTACCAAAAATACAAAAAAATTAGCCAGGTGTGGTGGTGAGCACCTATAATCCCAGCTACTCCAGAAGCCACAGTGAGGATAGCTTGAGCCTGGGAAGTCCAGGTTGCAGTGAGCCGGGATGGTGCCACTGCACTCCAGCCTGGGCAACAGAGCAAGACCTTGTCTCTCTCTCTCATACACACACATACACACACCCACACTATATATATACGTATATATACACACACATAAAATATATAAATAAATAATAAAATATTTATTTCCTCATTAAATGTATAACAAAATATATATTATTTATTATATAAATGTTATAAATATATAATATATTTAATATATATTTAAGAAATATATTGTATATTATTATATATTATTGTTATATAATACATAATATATAATATATATTATTATAATATATAACAATAATATATAATATATATATTCATCAGGAGTTTGAGACCAGCCTGGCCAACATGGTGAAATCCTGTCTGCTAAAAATACAAAAATATTAGCCAGGCATGGTGGCACATGTCTGCAATCCGAGTTACTCGGGAGACTGAAGCAGGAGAATCGCTTGAACCCGGGAGGAGGAGGCTGCAGTGAGCCAAGATCAGGACACTGCACTCCAGCCTGGATGATGGAGTGAGACTGTCTCAAAAAAAAGAATGAAAGAATGAATGAATGGCCAGTCCCCTGGAGTCAGACATTGGGGGTCAGAGGGGTAATGGTGTCAAGTGTCACCCACTGTCCGCCTCCCCAACTTCAACCATCCTCTCCGTCCAGACCCAGCCCGCCAGCAGGCTGCTGGGTTATGGCCTGGGTGTGCTGAGCAGGAACCTGGGTAAGGTAATCCCGCATGAGTCACCATCTGCTGATTTTCTGAGATTCTCTTGCCTTTTTGGGAAATGTCCGCACCCAACTCCATCCGCTTTCCGAGGGGCCCAGAGGAGGGTCTTGTGCCCACCCTGTGTTGCTGCCAATTTCGAGGAAGTTCTAAACCCAACTCCGACCGCTCTCCGGATGGCTACGAGGAGGGTCCTGCCCTCGCCCCGTGTTCCTTCAAACCCCGGGGCAGAGATGGGGGGTGGGTGGCGCCGTCATCTTCGGGGACCCAGGGGCCGAGTACCCGGCCTGGATGCGGAGCTGGGAGCGAGAGAGGGGCCGCCGGACTGCGCGGGGGTCACTCACCGGTTCCTGGGGGTGGCCAGGACAGCGCCAGTAGTGCCAGCAGCAGCGGCGGCCATGCGGCGGCCATATGAGTTGCCCCGGGCAGCTGGGCCTCCGGCGGGCGTCTCCTTCTCGCTTCCCGGCGCCGCTCGCTCTGCCGCGGCCGCTGCGAGTCCAGCTCCCGGAGCTCAGGTCCTGGAATCTCCGGGGGGCCGCTCCGTCAGTGCCTGGGGTGGGAAGAAGAATACCCACTTCTTCAAGTTCCAGACAAGTGACGGGAGGGGAGGGGAGTTGACGGCGAGTCCCCTCAGGCGCGGAGGCGTCACCCAGGCTGCGCCCTCACCACGCCCCGGCGCGCGTGCGCCTGCGCAGGTCTCTCCGGGCGCTCAGTCCCGCTACAGACGCGCGCTCGCTCCCTCAGCGCGCTCTAGAAGAGGTGGCTTCCCGTGTGAGGACGCCCACATCCCAGGTGAGGAAACGGAGGCACGCGGAGAGATTCAGCAGCTTACTAACGACTCGCGGTTGCCAAGTGGCAGAGCTGAGGTTTCAACTTGTGATGCGACAGATCCTGAGCCCGCCAGGCTGTCCTTCCACCCAGCCTAAACCCATGGGCTTTGGGGTCAGACAAGACCTGGGCTCATGTTGAGCAAGTGGTTTCTCCTCGAGGGCCCTCAGATTCTTTATCTGAAAAATGGGCATAGTAGGGCGCGGTGGCTCAGCAATTTGGGAGGCTGAGGCGGAAGGACTGTGTGAGCCCAGGAGTTAGAGGCTGCGGTGAGCCACCCTCGCGCCACCGCACTACAGCTTGGGTGACAGAGCCAGACCTGTCTCAAAAACAAACAAACAAAACAAAACAAAACAAAACAAAAAGGTTGGGGGCTGGGGCGCAGGCGCAGTGGCTGATCCCTGTAATTCCAGCACTTTGGGAGGCCGAGGCAGGAGGATCAGCTGAGGTCAGGAGTTCAAGGCCAGCCTGGCCAACATGACACAAACCCATCTTTACTAAAAATACAAAAATTAGCTGGCATGGTGGCACATGCCTATAATTCCAGCTACTAGGGAGTCTGAGGAAAATCACTTGAACCTGGGAGGTGGAGGTTGCAGTGAGCCAAGATCAGGCCTCTGCACTCCAGCCTGGGTGACAGAGCGAGACTCTGTCAAAAAAAAAAAAAAAAAAGAAAGAAAAAAGGGCATACAGCGTGGTCTGTAAAGCTTAAACAAGGAACTGCTTAGCTCAATTTCGGGGACATAGTGTGTAATAAATAAAAAGCAGATATACCAACAATAGCAGCAGTGGCAGTGACAATTATTGTTATTGTTGCTTTACAGTTGCCATCAAATAATAATGTTCATGAGAATGGTAATTCATTCATTCTTCACTCAACGTATATTTATTGAGCCAGTCAGTATCCCAGGCGCTGGGGATACAGCAGAAAATAAGACACAAAAATCTCTGCCTTTAATGAAGACCGTGTTCTAGTGGAGGGAAACAGACCATAAACAGATTAATACCAGAACTCCAGCAGGTCTGGGGGAGATAAGGGTTATAGACCAACCTGCAGTAGGGAGAGGTGAGGAGGGAGGGAAGGAGAGGGAGAGAGAGAGAGGAAGGGAAGGAGGGAGAGAGAGAGAGAGGGAGGGAGGGAGAGAGGGAAAGAGAGAGAGAAACAGAGAGACACACTCAGAGATAAGGGCTGGGAGACAGAAAGATTGAAAGAGATAGAGACACAGCATAGACAGCGAGATGAGAGAGAAATGAGAGGTGAGAGATTCAGAGAGCCAAATCCTAAGAGATAGAACCTGAGAGACTTCCTGGTCCCCAGAGGTGTCTGTCCTGGCCAGGGTCTCCGTGAGGCCGACTAACAGCTCTGGTCCCTGTTCTCTGACATCCTTATATCCTTTTTATTTTTTTTTTTTTTAGACAGGGTCTCACTATTTCACTGAGGCTGGAGTGCAGTGGCGCCATCATGGCTCATTGCAGCCTCCACCTCCTGGGCTCAACTCCACCTCAGCCTCCTGGGTAGTTGGGACCATGGGCATATGCGAACACGCCCAGCTAGTTTTTAAATTTATTGTAAAGACAGGGTCTCGCTATGTTACTCAGGCTGGTCTTGAATTCCTAGCCTAGAGCAATCCTCCCACCTTAGCCTCCCAAAGTGCTGGGGTTGCAGGCATGAGCCACTGTGCCCAGCCCCACATTATTATATCTTTCTGTAAAATCCCTCTTACGGCTTTTGGCTGGCTTGAAGCTTTCTGTCCCCGGGTGCCCTCTCTAACTTAGATCTGATGCTTGTGTATGACATATCTGATGCTTGGGGTCTCTCACCCTGGATGTACATAGGTGAATTTCTATGGAAACATGGAGGCTGGTCTCTTGGAAATCTCTGAATTTTCTGTCACTCTCGTTCTGCTGAGTTATTTCCAAATTGGGAATCTGTGGCCATTGTTATGTTCCTTCTCTGGACGATGCCATCACCATCTGGGTTTCCCTCACCTCTCTGGACTCCCCAGCTCCTGTCTCCAGGGCCTCCTCTCAGGGACCTGGAGGGTCAGAGGCTGCTCTGAAGAAGCAGGCTCAGAAGAAAAAGCAAGTTTGGTTCTGGGCATATCTGCTTGCTTCTGTGTGTTTCTCTGTCAAGAGTCTAAATTCCTTGAGTGTTTGGACCAGACATTTTCTTCACTCAAGTGCTGAAATATCATCTGAAAAAATAGTGAATGGAGATCTCCAATGGGCATCCTATTTTTTTGTGTGTTTGTTAGTTTGTTTGTTTTGAGACAGACTCTCGCTCTGTCTCCCAGGCTGGAGTGCAATGGCGTGATCTCGGTTCACAGCAGCCTCTGCCTCCCAGGCTCAAGTGATTCTTGCGCCTCAGCCTCCCAAGTAGCTGGAATTACAGTCCTGCACCACCATAGCCAGCTAATTTTTTTGTGTTTTTAGTAGAGATGGGGTTTCACCATGTTGGCCAGACTGAGCTTAGGTGATCCACCTTCCTCAGCCTCCCAAAGTGCTGGGATTATAGGTGTGAGCCACCATGCCCAATGGACATCCTCTTGATGCTGTGGTTTTCAAACTTCTGGATCCAAAAGGATCATCAAGAAGCTTGTATAATTAAACAAATATGAATCCATTTCCTTATTCTTCCGTCTCCCAATAAAAAAATAAAATGGTGGCATTGTTCTCTTTCTGTTTTTCACTTAGCAACATATCTTGGTGATTTTCCCATAGGCAGATATATTGAGCTACCTCATTCATTCATTTGTTCATTCATTCATTCACAAATGTGTAGTATTCCATTACATGAATGCACCATCATTTTTGAAACTGTCTTCCAGGGATGGCCTCTTTTGGGTATTTCCGCCCTTTTGTACTTGCAAACCGTGCTTCCCTGGGTCATCATGTCCATGGCATTTCCCATGTATGTGACAGTGTCTGTCATATTTATTCCCAGAAGCTGATTTCCTGGGCCAAAGGGCATGCACATTTGTGGTCTAGAGGATATTGCCAAATTGCTGTCCTGCAACCATGCCAGCAAAGTAAGGGCGTGGAGTGGCTTCTACCCAGGAATGCTCACGGCAGTCAGGGAAGGTTTAAAAATTTCAGATATGCCCCCACCCCCTGCATCTCTACAAAAATTAAAAGAAAATTAGCCAGGCGTGGTGGCACATACCTGTAGTCCCAGCTACTTGGGAGGCTGAGGCTGGAGGATCGCTCAAGCCCCGGAGTTTGAAGCTGCAGTGAGCCATGATTGCGCCACTGTACTCCAGCCTGGGTGACAGAGTGAGACTCTGTCCACCCCAAAAAAGAAAATGTCAGATGTGAAGCTTTGTCCAGAAGGGTGTGATGTAGGAGGACTTGGAGCAGGGGGAGAAAGAGAGAAAGACATGGAGAGCAAGAAGAGGAGATGGGGAACGAGGGCTCCAGAGACTCCCTTGGTTCAAATTCTGCTTCCACCAATTGGTAGCTGGGAATCCTAAGTAACTGGTATCGCTTCTCTTGCCTCTTTTTTCTCATCCACAAAATACGGGCTCGTGAAAACATGTGGTGTTAGTTAAATAAGTTATTTAGAAACAAGTTATATGTGGCTGGGCGTGGTGGCTCATGCCTGTAATCCCAGCACTTTGGGAGGCTGAGGTGGGTGGATCATTTTGAAGGGGGCCTGCCCCTCCACCCCGTGGGTGTTTCTCCCAAGGTGGAGATGAGAGACTGAGAAAAGAAATAAGGCACAGAGACAAAGTATAGAGGAAGAAAAGTGGGCCCAGGGGACCGGCGCTCAGCAAGTGAGGACCTGCACCGGCACTGGTCTCTGAGTTCCCTCAGTATTTATTGATCACTATCCCTACTAACTTGGTGAGGGGCATGTGGCAGGACTATAGGGTAATGGTGGGGAGGGGGTCAGCATGAAAGCATATGAGAAAGGACTCTGTGTCATAAATAAGTTTAAGAAAAGGTGCTGTGCCTAGATGTGCACGTAGGCCAGATTTATGTGTGACTTGACATAAACATCTCAGTGCAGTAAAGAGCAGTATTGCTGCCAGCATGTCTCACCTCCAGTCGTAAGATGGTTTTCTCCTATCTCAGTAAACAGAATGTGTGATCAGGTTTTATACCAAGATCTTCCATTCCCAGGGATGAGCAGGAGACAGATGCCTTCCTCTTATCTCAACTGAAAAGAGGCCTTCCTCTTTCACTAATCCTCCTCAGCACAGACCCATTACGGGTGTCAGGCTGGGGGACGGTCAGGTCTTTCCCTTCCCACGAGGCCATATCTCAGGCTGTCTCAGTGTGGGGAAACCTTGGACAATACCCAGGCTTTCTTGGGCAGAGGTCCCTGCAGCCTTCCAGAATGCATTGTGTCCCTGAGTACTCGAGACTGGAGAATGGTGGCGACTTTTACCAAGTATACTCCCCGCAAACACATTTTTACAAAGCACATCCTGCACAGCACTAAATCCATTAAACTTGAATCAATACAGAACATGTTTCTGCGAGCACAGGGTTGGGGCTAGGGTTACGGATTAACAGCATCTCAAGGCGGAAGAATTTTTCTTCGTACAGATCAAAATGGAGTTTCTTATGTCTTCCTTTTTCTACATAGACACAGTAACAGTCTGATCTCTTTCTTTCCCCCACACATTTGAGGTCAGAAGTTCAAGACCAGCCTGGCCAACATGGTGAAACCCCGTCTGTACTAAAAACACAAAAATTAGCTGGGTGGTAGTGGTGCGCACCTGGAATCCCAGCTACTTGGGAGGCCGAATCACTTGAGGTGGAGGTTGCGGTGAGCCAAGGTTGTGCCACTGCACTCCAGTCTGGGCGAGAGAGTGAGACCCTGTTTCA